GCCTAACTCCGTGATGTCCCTCCCGGGTTTCTTTTGTTACCTGCGCCCCCGCCTCTCCGGGCCTGCCGGGCGGATGGCAGAGAGTCGGAGGTCGGGGCGCGGGGACTGTCAGTTCCCACGAGACGCAGCTCCAACCTGGGGACCCCCAGCTCGCACGGAGCTGGAGTCTCGGCGCCGACCCCCTCGGCGTCAGGCCCCAGAACCGACGCAAAGTTCGGGGCCAGGGTCTGCAGCGCGGGATCCCGCGGCTGGCGGGGCTCCCGGCTCCCCGCTGGCAGGTGCTGGAGCGCGGAGGGCGGGGCCACGCACCCAGCGGGTGGGCGCGCAGCCGGCGTCTTGCCCGGAGCGGGTCCCGAGGTTCCCGCTGCTCTCGTGCGCTTCCCTGCCGCGTCCCGGGCACCCACCCTCTCCCGCCCTCTCGCAGCCCCGCGACCCGGGCGTCCCAGGGACGGGTTCAGTGAAAACAGACGCTCAACTAAAAAGCGGTCCCGCAGACCTGAACCTTCGGGTTTGGGCTCCTCCCGGTACTTGTAAGGGAAATGGGTACACGAGAGGCTCAGAAACTGCGAGGTGGAGAGGGGGATACGCATTCCCCTGCGAGTTTGCCGAGAGACAGGCGGGAGATGAGGGTGCGTCCCGTTCCACCAGGGTGCCCCTTTGGCCCATTTCTCTCCGAGGACACTTCCAGCGCCCTTCTGCCGCGCCTCCTCCTCCAGCGGCGCTTCCTAAGCCGGAGGGGCCTAGGCCGCGCCGGGCTGCGCTAGCCGGGAGCCGCCCACATCCCGAGCGGCCTGGGTGGGCGCCGAGCCCCGACGTCCCCTCCTCACTACTCCCCTTTGCTGTTTCGGGCGGGAGCCCGCGGTCGTGGGGTGGCCACGGGCCTTGGGACGCGGAGGGTCCCGGGGGAGAGGTGCCGGGACCCGGACGCTGCGAGCCAGGGACTAACTCCCGCAGCCCCGTGGGCCCCGCAGGAGTCGGGAGGGGTGAGGCTGAGCTTCCGCGGGGCGCCTTCGGAGTCGCCGCGGTTCTCGGTGCCCGGGCCCCGACGCCTGTCCCTAGCGCCCCAGGGCGGCGGAGAGGCGGGAGCGAGCGGCAGGGAGAGGTAGGAGTGTACCCGCCAGGACGCGGAGGGTTGGGAGCCCACCCTTCCGACGGGCGGCGGGAGGAGGAGAGTGGGGCCCGAAGTCCGCAGAAGGACCTGAAAAGGGCAGTTAAATCTTCTTGTCTGAGCGAGATGCTCAGAGAATCTGGGCTTTTGCAATTTCTGGTAAGGGTATCAGTGGAGGCGACGAAACTTGGCTTGACCCAGCTGCTTGGAAAAAAAAAAGTTTGAGGAGACACAAGTCCTCCTCCTGTAAGAGTTAGAAAACCTTGCACATCGTGGGCCCCTCAGGCCGCCGCTCCCAACCCTTTCTCGAGATAGAAACCCAAGGTCCCAGAACCTCGAGGAGGGAGAGGAGTTCCTATGTGCGCAGCCAAAGCCGGCCCGCTTTCCCTTTCTAAATGTGACTTTCTCCCGCCCTTAAAGTTCAGTCACCTGCTTAAAGCACCTCGAGGCTTCTAGTGCGAGCCTTCTCAAGATATCTCCGCCCACGAGGATTTCGCTGTTCTCTTAAATGTAAAGCAACGTTTATTCTGGAATGAAGGAATCCTCGCTGTGTTTCTAGATTGAATTAAAAACTGCCATAAACTTGAGAACTTTCGAGAAAGTGGCAAATTTACAAGGAAGCAATTTCGGCCAAGCACCATTCTCACCATCGCGGTCATACGCTTTTGTTACGGGCGTCAGTAATTCGAGTATTTAACGGGAATTGCAAGTAAGGGTAGCTTGCAAAGTCACATCCCCAAGAGGACCAGCCCTCACCGGGACAAGAACCTTCCCTGGAGGCCAGTGGCTAATGTTTCCTCTCAATAGATCAAGAAACTCCAAGCAACCGGGTTCCAAATAATTTTTCTGCTTGAGTTCTTGTCCTGTTCTTAAAGGAATCCTTTCTCCCAGTCTCCCTAGCCCAAGGCAGTTTTTGTAAACCAGAGAAGAGCTCAGTCTGCCTAGGGCAACTTCCCCAACGCTGGAATCAATGTCTCTTTTCTGCTTCAGTTGGATAATTCAGGATAGAATTTCCTGGGCCGAAGGTTCCTTTTGGTGCAGTTTCCCAGGAAAATGGACCTCAGAGCTCTTAAATTTGACCACAGCTGGGATTCATCACAGCAGCACAACCTCAGAATTCACCTCTCCCCTGGTGTAAGGAGTGTGGCTTTACTCCTTTCCAGCACCCAATTTAAGCTTCAGCTCTAGAGAAGGGGTGAAGCCCACCACTAAGCCTGTGGTCAGGGCTCCAGTCTTTCCCCAAGACCAGGCCTTCAGATCCAAAAGTAGCAAGTAGCTCAGGGGAAAGTCGTTTCCCTGATTGATGAAACTTCTCCCCTCCCCTTTTTAAATAATAAACTCACCGGGAAAGGCTGGAGGGCTGCCTTGTGTTGGTTTCAAATAAATCCTCAACAGCTCTTTCCTCACCCAGAGAAATGAATCACCCTTGGGAAACAGACGATTATTCCCCCATTTGTCTGCTGAAAACCGGGGGAAATAAGCACCCTCCACTGTAGACCCTCACTTTGGTCTTTCTCCCTGGCAGTAGGAGAGCTTGAGGGGAGGTTGAGGGGGTGGGGGAGATGGAGGGGGATGAGTTAAATAGAACCAGGACCCACTGAGATGCCCTCCCAAGGGCAAGTGGTGGGGACCCCGGGGAGGAAAGGGTAGATAATTCCTAGATGTGCTATCCATGCTGGATCCTGGAGAGAGAGAGCTCTCTTGCTCTGCAGTGGAAACCACAGGCTTCCTCTTCTTGAAGAGGAGTTTAAGTCTCAACCAACTGATGGTGAAGTTACATCTAATCCAGAGGCCAATTCCAGGGTGGTATATTTCAATCAGATTTTCATTTTTCTTCGTAAGAAATACAGGCTTGTGCTGTTGGGGTTATCGTCACTAGGATGTGATTTCTTGTCCTGTGTGAACAAATAAACAAAACCTTCCTGCTGGGTCACTTTTGCGCATACAAACTATATGGAACTGTTATGGAACTGGGGGTGAGGGATGAAGAGAGAAAAGTAATTGATTAAAAGGACCCCTGTTTTAGCCATCATTTATGTAGCAGATGCCCAATATATTCCGCTAATCAGACTTGCAATCTAAGGTAGGAAAGAAGGGAGAATTCCTGCTGTAAGTCTTTGAGATGCTGGGACTTAGGAGGTGGTTGGCCTCATCCAAGCTCACCTTGCAAAGCAGAGTGGACTTCCCTTTCTCTGTGGGTCACACTGCCAATGGGGCATCAGAAGAGTGGGTATTTGATTATTTTCTAGGACCCCTCTTTGTTGACTTAAAAAACATATACTGGATTTTAACCCGTTTATTCTTTTTTTAAAGGCCACATGGTCAATTTAAAGTGAAAAGAAGTTAACTTACTGCTTCATTCCTGTCTGTTGTCAACCCAGCTGGTGCAGCCACCACTCTGCCTCTCATTTCCTGTCACTTTGGGTTTTCAGATTACTTTTTTAAAATCTCAGTTGCTGAGTTTATGAGCGTCTGGTGACTGCCTAGAAATAAGGAGCTCAAATATCACAAGACTACCAATGTGGACAATGCCCCCATTTGAAAGACATCTGGTTGTAATAATTAACACCAATTTATCTGACCTTTTTACCTGTGAATGACCAGAGAAAACTCTTTGTGTCTGCCCACCCATCCAAATCTCTCACTCCCTGCCAGATACACCTTACTGGGTCCGTGCACTTTTTACCCACTCCCCCCATCTTCAAAAATTTTAGGCAGAGGCAAAGCCAGGATTTAAAGGTTCTTTTTTATTTGAAATCTCATCCAGAAACACTGGTTATTAATAAATATATCATAGTTATCAAGAATATATAAAAAATAAAGACAGGTATTGTCTTTGAGGCCCTAACAAAATATTTCAAGCAAATGTTCAGGAAAATAAAAACAGCACCCCTCCCCAAACCACGATAACTTTTCAAAGCTGATGATAGAGAGAGCCGACCCCGCATGCAGAATCACTGAGCAAGTGGGGGATGGGGCAAGCTAGTAGAGGGAGCCCGAGCTCTGGCCATAGCTGGCCCCTAGAACAGCCTAGGGATGGAGTTTGGGAATGGAGTTCGAGAGGGTGGTGGTGGGGGGGGAAGAAGCGCTTGTGCGTGAGTTTGGGTCTTTGCACTCTGCCCCCCTTTTTTCATTTCAAACAACCACAAGCAGATATATGGATACTTCAGAGAATTCACTAATAAATCCTTGTTACAAGGAAAATGGCATCAAGGCCTGCACAACATGTTTATATAAGATTCATTTAGAAGCGTGCATGCATTCTTTTGACCTACACTGCGTCTTAAGGAAAACCCACATTAAGAGATGTCATGCCCTGGACCGGAGTTGAGATTCAAAACTTGGGTCTTGATCAATCTCTCTCTCTCTTCTCTCTCTCTCTCATTGTCTCTAGAAAAACAGCTGTGGAGAGGATAGTGACAATCGTAACTGCATCTATCTCAAAGGAAATATTTACATTTGTTTTTGCAAAAAAGGAATGTTGTCTTTTCCAAGGTGAGAACGCAGAGCCAGAGAAAGCCAACTCTAAAGTCCCTTCGCAAGTTTTTAACCACACCGATCCCGTCTTTATACAACAAATGCAGTTTTGACAAGAGCATATGTAAGTGAGAAATACTGGCGCGGCATGGGGAAAAGAAGCATGCATGCAAAACACACGACGTCTGGTTCGAGTCCCCCTTCGTTACCACCTAGAAATTGCAGTTTGGTTTTGGTCCTTTCCCTCCGGGGGTCTAGAAGGGTCTGAGATCTCTCACGCGGCGTGGGAGGCCGCAGGACCCCGTGCTCTCCCTCCCGCCGGCCGAGTGCTCAGCCACCCTCTTCCCTCCTGGCCCAGCACCGTGGTCCCTCCCGCCTCTCTCCCCTCATCCTCGGCAGCCGGGCCGTGCGCTGCTCACTTGAGCAAGTCCTTGGACTCGGCCGACAGCCGAGCCATGCTGGCGGTGGAGAGAGCGGAAAGGTGCGGCGGCGGCGGCATCTGGCAGATGGTGCACGGGCAGGGCAGCCCGGCCCAGTGCTGGAAGCCGCTGCCCAGCTGCAGCGCCGGCGGCGTGGAGGGCGCCTTGAGCAGCGAGTGGGGAGGTCGAATAGTGCCGATGGCCGGCAGCGAGGCGGCGGACAGCGGGGACGAGGCGTTGCCGGACGAGAGCGCGCCGCCCAGGATGGGGTGCACCGGGTGCACGGCGTTGGCGGCGTGTGCTGGGTGGCCGGCGGAGTGGCCCACGGTCCCGCAGTGGAAGGCAGAGTGGTGGCCCCCGTAGATCTCGCCAACCAACCTCTTCATCTCCTCCAGGGAGCTGGTGAGCATGAGGATGTAGTTTCTGGCCAGCAGGAGAGTGGCGATCTTGGAGAGCTTGCGCACCGAGGGCCCGTGCGCGTAGGGCATGACCTCGCGCAGCCCGTCCATGGCTAGGTTTAGGTCGTGCATCCGCTTGCGCTCGCGGCCGTTGATCTTCAGCCGTAACTGCTGTAGGTCCTGCTCCGACAGCTGCTTCTTGATTTTGTACTTGCTGCTCTCGCCCGTGGCCTTGGCGCCAGCCCGCGAGAGGCTTTCCCCGGGCATCTTCTGCACCATGTCGCCCTGCGTGGAGGAGACCGAGTTGAGACGGCTCTCCTGGTGGTGGTGGTGACGGTGGTGGTGTTCCCTCAGATACATCTCATCCATGTCCGGCGATGAAGCTCTGCTGGAGACAGAGCTCGAATCAGAATTCATTTTATTACAGGGGATGCGGCCCTACCGTGGGGAGGCTTTAGGTGGGAAATTAAAGAAAATCTTGAATTTAAAAAAATCTGCGCAGCCCAGCGACCCACTTCTCAGCGGCAAGACGTGAGAAGAAAAGCTGAGGCACTGCCTATCCCCGCCTTTCTCCCTCCCCACTCCCTTCTCTCTGGTTCGGCTGTTTCCTGGACAGCGGGTTGGTGTATGCTTGGACTAACCTCACGCTGAAAAAGAGGGGCTTTTATAGAGCTGTGCCGGAGAAAGGAGACAAAAGGAACCCTCCTATCTATCCTGGGCTGGTTAGGATGACGTGCCATCATTCAGGGCGGTGCGCTTTGCTGTCCCATTTAGCAAGGATTCCTATTCATATTCATTGTGGGGCCGCCCTGGGACACCTCTGCTCAGAACCGCTAGGAGCCCCAAGGCACAAAACCCTCTGATTGACACACTCACCGCTCCAGCTCGCTCCTTCCTGATTTTTTTTTTTTAACTTTACTCCCCCTCCCCCCCAATTTCCCTAACCAAATCACACCTAAAGAACCGACGGACCGGAAGGAAAAGGGGCCGGGCAGTTGTCGGAGATTCCTCTGGGTTTGGAGAGAGGAATTGAAACCTTCTCTTTTCTTTGTAGCAACTCCCAAGTTTTGGGAAATGTGGGCAAAAGAAGTCCTATGGAACTGTTTCATGGATAGAGATGCGGTTAGAGGGCAGGTTCCGCGCGCGCCGGGGGTGGGAGGGAGAGGGGGACTGCGTGTGAATGGGCACTGTCTGAACTGGTTTGTATTGGGTTTCTTTTCCTAAACCCTGACATTGTGTTCATTTTGTTCATTAGGCCCTTCTAGTGTGGTTTCAATTTGATGTCCTATCTGGTGAAGGCTTTGCCTCTGACACAGTTGTGGGATGGGTCTCTTGTTTTTGTTTCTGCTTTTTTGTTTGTTTGCTTCTTTGTTTTTGGTCCTCTCGTTTAAATAAATAGATTACTGAAAGAATTTGCTTTGCACAGTTCTCTAACTTCTTAGACCTGGATCTGAGGGGGAAATAAACAGAGCAAAACCAAAAAAAAATCCAACCCTGGCGATCCGAGAAGAGCAACTTGAGAAGGGGAGGAGAGGAAAGGGAACCGAGGGTGCAGGGAGAGATTGGAAAGGTTCCCAAGAACTCCAGAGAGATTGCTCCTGCTGGGGCTACCCCGCAGCCCCCAGACCCGGGCTCTCACAGAGGCTGCTGGGGCGGTCCCTGCCGCTAGCCTTGGGCCACTGTGCTGGTGCACGGGGGGAGCATCTGCAGCTCGGCGCCACTGGGGGCGGGTGGGTCCACTGGGTGGGGCTGTCCCACTTGGGCGGGCCGGGGAAAGCGGACGCTCAGGGTCGAATAAGAAACGACATGTGTGTGCGTGTGTGTATGTGTGTGTGTGTGTGTGTGTTCCGCAGCGAAAAGATCTGGAAAGCCCCTTAGGCGTGTGCGCGTGGGCCCTGCGGTCAAGTGCACCGTGGATTCTGGGGATAAAGGAGGCCTGGAGTTTGGAACCTTCGGTTCCAGTGCGGCGGAGGTCGGCACGGATCTTTCTTCCCCCTTGCTGTGTTTTTGTCAATCGGGACTAACTAAGCAGTGTGAGGGGCGGGAAAGCAGAAACCCCCGGGAGCCACTGGGCGGTCTCTAGAAGAGCCTGGGCACCGCCACGATCCGGGCCCGGAGGAAGCAGAGGCTGATGTTAGGTTGTGGCTAAATGGATGGAAAGTGCGAAACCGAAGCAATCCCGGAATCTGGGTCAGTTAGGGCCTCGGACTGCGCGGCAGTCAGTACACATCTCTAAGACTCGAGATAGAGGAGGCCTCACTTTCCAACGACACAAATGGAGGGATCTGCAGAAGAGGGTTGTATGCCCAGGCCCGGAGTCTGCACGCTCCGCGAGCCTGTGCCTCGTTGACAGTCTCCCCTCGAAAGCTGCGCTGGCAATACCAGTCGGATGGGGAGACGCAACATTGGAACGGATGCTTTTCTACACGGAACTTTGCTTCTCTGTAGGAAAAGAAAATGGCCAAGAGTCCCTCCTCAAGGCCAGGACCTTGGTGCCCTTGAAGATTGGACCCAAGCCTCCTATCCTCTTACCGCTTCCACCTCCGGAGAAGGGGAATTGATCAAAACGAAGAATCCAAGAGATTCGATTAGATGTGGAAAGATTGATGTCCAAACGCGCGTCTAATATCCAAGCCAAAGAAATGTTTAATTCGCCAGACGCATCCATTTGAGCTCAGACAGCGACAAACCCCGAACTACATATGAGAAAAAGGGTTCCAGAACATCTGCATATATTCGGACACAGTCCCAGGTGATGGAGGGAGGCTGGGTGGAGAGGCGTGGTCCAGACTACCGCCCTCTGCGCTTCTCTGCTGATCCCACCGGGCGACGGGGGAGCCCTGGGAACGCTACACTGGAGGACAAGCGGTTTCCCACCCTTTGGGGCCAGTGCACAGGCCCGGCCTCCGCCGTCCTCCTGTACCACCTTCCTGACCCTTGGGCATCGATTTCGTTCTCTCATGCCCAAACTGAGAATGCTGTACCTCAGTTTTGATTTTGGGAAGTAGCAAAGTCTAGTTTGAGCGAAGGATTGCAAATGAAGTAGAAAAAAAATCAAGCTGCTAAAAGGTATTTTACCTTTAAAAAAAATCCCAATGTTCTCAGTGGACAATATGAAATAAGGTGTAAAATTTTCTCAAATTAATAGAGAAGGTGGCAGGGGAAAAAAATAGGGAAGCAGTCCTTGAAATGCAAGCTGAACAACTCACTTTCAGGGCTGGAAAGACAAAGCCCAGGGTTCTGGGAGTCCGAACCAGAAGCCGCTCTTCCTCGGCACCGCCTTTCCACCGAGTGGGGGACGCAGGCCGCTGTGACCAGCTCCGAGGGGGGCCGCGTTAGGCGGGGAAAGGGTGCCAGGCCTCTGCCAACATGGCCCAGACCCTCTCCACCCTTAACGGATTTTTAGCTCAGGTAAAGTGAAGGTAGATCTGCTCGACGTGGCACATCTGCCATGTCCAGGCCAAGGGCCCTCGGTCATGGCCCAGGACGCGGCGCGCCCTCTCCTCCCTGCTTTTCTGATAGGCCTCTACATGTGAGTGTGAGGTGGTCCAAGATCCAGGGCCCCAGTCAGGCAAGCGCTTCAGGTGAGGCCTTCCAGGGGCCCAGACTCTCCTAGGAGGCTTGTTCCCCATTCCCTACCTCTTGGAGGGATCAACAGCGAGAGGAGGGAGAAGGAGTAAAGGAGCCACAACTTTGCTCTCCATAAAATGGGTTGATACCGAACGCGGCCCAAGAGGCAGAGGCGCCCCACCAGGCTGTGCGGGCGCTGCTCCACCGCGCTTGCCTAGCAGAGTCGCTTTGGACGCAGGGGTCCCCGACAAATGCCGCTCAGCCCCGAGCAGGAGCAGGCAGGGAGCTCAGAAGAGCGAGCTGCCCGAGGTCCTTCGAAAAGCTGTTTCTGCCGTCGCCCACGCCCGGCGTCAGCAAAGGGGAAAAGTAAGGGAGCCGGCGCCGGGCCGAGGCTGCAGCGGCCCAGAGGGGGCCGTGGCAGCCCCGAGGGGCCTCCGCCGGAGACGCACCGTGACCTTGGCCCTGGCCAGGGGCCCATTCAGAGGGCTTCAGACAAGCAAGGAGCGGGAGCGAGCGAGCCGGCGGCGGCGCGGGGCCGCGCTCTCCCGGGCCACACCCCGCGTCCTCGCAGCTGGCGGGCGCAGGGGGGCGGCGCGGAGGCGGGGGTCGTTCCCCCGCAACAGGTGCGTCCCAAGGCCCGCCGGCCGCTTCCCGCCACTCGGTCTTGCTCTGGGCAGAGCCTGGGAGTTTCTCAGGCTTTGTACTCCCCGGGCCAGCGGCGGGTGGGCGCGGGGACCCGGTTAGAGAGCCGCGCAGCCTTCCCGGCGCGCCCGGGGCGCACAGCCTCGGCACTGCAGCCCCAGCTGCCGAGGACCGCGCGCTCCAGAGGCTTCCCGGCTCTTCCTGTCCGCCCGCCCCCAACCCAGACCTCGCGGGGAGCAGCTCTTACCCTAAGCCCGGTGCGTGCGGCTCGGCGCCGGCGCCCACCGCTGCGCAGCTCCAGCCACCGAGCTCGTCTCCGGAAGCTGCCCGCTCTGCCCGAGGCCGCGGCGATCTGGGCTCAGGAGGGAACAACCCTCCACCCCCTCGTCAGAGTCCGGAGGCAAGTGGTCGCGCTGGCTGACCTGCCGGGCGGCCACTGCCAGGAGCCGGTCAATCAGCAGCGTCCAGGGGGCTCCCCTCGCTCGGCAAGCCTCAGACTTGACCGGTAGAAACTTTGGCCGAGCCCGAACGGCGGAGGCTGCCCTGTGGGCTTCACCTTTTAACCCAACCCCCCTTCCAAAACAAAAAAGATAAAAGGGAAACCCAAATATCTCTAAGGATGTTCCGTCACGTGCAACCGGAGGGAGAGCCTAAAAACTAGCTGGCCACTGAGGAACTTCTCAAAAAGTAGTTTCTTTCTTTGTCGGAGTAAAACAATCACTTCACCACACTAGCAGTGGGGGGCGGATCATCGAAGCTGTTAGGTGGATCAAAGAAGCCGTTAGAGAGAGGGAGAGAGAGAGAAAAACAAGTTTTATAAAAATTAAATGTCAACATAAATCGTAGCCAGGCAGGGATTCTCTCTTGCAGCGGCGCATCCCGGGTGCTAGAGTGTGGCGAGAGTACTGAGCTCCGAGACCCGCAGTTGGAGATGCCAAAATTGAAATTCCAACAATTAAGTAGATGCTAGAAGGGCCAGAGAGGATGGAGCCGAGCCGACCGACTAAGATGTTTCAGTTTTGGGGGTTTCCCCATATTTTACATAATATCTTGAACATTGGCTCATCTGTCTAGTATTTCTCCTCATCTTAAAAAAAAATCTGGCTTTCATACAGGAAAAAGAGCAGAAGTTGAAGGACAGCAGAAATTTATGAGGCGATAGTAACTGCTCTTTGCAACGTTGGATGTGAGATTGGAGGATGCAA